CTAACCTTACGCGCTCTATCATGAGGATTTGAAATGATTAAGGCAATTATTCAGTTATGATAGTTGGAAAGAAACTGGAAATAAAAATTGCATAAAAAATTATATAAAACTCAAAATTATGATTTCTCATGTAAAAGTTACTTTTTTTAGGAACGTGTACATCTACAAATGTACGATCATTCATCACTTTACACGGGATTATGTATAGCCACGGGTGAGCGTCTGCTTTGGAGTACATTTGCATTTTCAAAAAAAACTAAGCTATAAATAGATTTTTTCTAGTTGTACAATTTTTCGTTTTACCCCGACATCGTCGGATATTTTTGATTCTATCATTATTATGGGTGGCAATAAGTATGTCAATTCTATTGATTATCAACTGGGATGCAATTCAAGCGGATTCTGTCTTTATTTGCTCAGTTAGTTCTTATTTTTAGAAAATAGCAAGAGAGCAAGTAAATTGATTGGTTCAGCTAATTTCCTTCCTACTGCAACAACTAATGATCAGCTGTGTTGGAATCGTTTCTGATTCGAATGAAGCTGGAAATCGTGCCGATATTGCAATGAAACTCACTGAAGCGGTCTATAGAAGAACAGAGCTGGAAACTCTCAAAGACCGCCAAGTATATTGATGCTCAAAACTTTCAAAAGGGTCTTACTGTGGCTATTCTTTTCAGGACCAACTTCTATTATCAGTGATACCAGCCTATTTGACTGATAAAGTTAGTAAAAGCATAATACAGTCAAGCAGTACAGTGGCAAGAAATAACAATAAACATCATAAACTTTTCCACGACCTACATGTGCAAGTTCACGACAATGTCAGGTAAGCAACAATATTCATTTATTCGATCATTCATTCATTCAGTTCTATGTTTGCTCAATTCTTGTAAAGCCCGCAGCTTCTTCAAGAACTAATTTATTAAACCGTTTGAATCCAGAAAAGTTCGCGAACGTAATTCGGCTAAAAAGAAACCGTGCAGCTGTTCTTCTCATAGCGTACGCAGATCTTCACTTATAGACGATAAAAAAAGAATATGGAGTCGATGTATTATAAAAAACATAATGAATTCCAAAGTTTA